TCGGCGCTGGTACACCACTCGTTGAAAACCGGCCTCATCTCACTTGTAACGCTTAGCCCTCCCTGCTTCATCGGGCTCCATCCCGCCCGGCTCAGTCCCACTGGATCCGGCCCTCACCCCAGGCTTGGTCCAGCCCATTCGTGCTCAGTGGCCCCTTACGTAGCACCCCGCAGTTGCGGATAAGAGTGAGGGAGTCCGCGAGGCTCTGAAGAAGCCCGCCGCAGGCGCAAAATTTGCAAGCTATACAACGAGCCCGCTGCTGGCGCCGACTTTTGTTAAAACAATGTAGGTGGGTCGCGGGTTGGGTGGCAGGTGGGTCGCGGGTGGGTCGCGGGCCAGGTCGCGCGTGGGTCGCGGGCCAGGTCGCGGGTGGGTCGCGGGATGGTCGCGGGTGGGTCGCGAGCGGGTCGCGGGGTGGGTCGCTGATGGGTCGCGGGGTGGGTCGCGGGTGGGTCGCGGGCCGGGTCGCGGGGGGGACGACGACATTTAACAACATTAACAACAACAGCATCATCAACAACAGCGACATCAGCAACACCAACAATAACAACAACAACGCAATAAGCATAATCCTCACCACGGATCCGCACTTAAACCACGCACCCAGGGACAATGAATGACCGTTCGGCCCCCTCACTCTGATTTTCACCGTCCTGACGATAACCTTCCAGGAGTTTCTCCTCCTCCTTCTCATCCTCCTCCTCCTCCTCCTCCTCCTCCTCCTCTCCTCTTCCCCCTCCCCCCTCCTCCCTCTCCTCCTCCTCCTCCTCCTCCTCCTCCTCCTCCTCCTCCTCCTCCTCCTCCTCCTCCTCCTAGCTCCTCCTGCTACTCCTGCTCCTTCTCCTGCTCCTCCTCTCCTCCTCCTCTTCCGCCTCCTCCTCCTCCTCTTCCTCCTCCTCCTCCTTGTCCTCCTCCTCCTCCTCCTCCTCCTCCTGCTCCTACTCCCTTTAGATCCGCCTTTGCAGAGAATGCCCTGCCACCGCAAAAAACGACCAGAACCCTGGTCCTAGAACTGACCTTTCTGCTTCATTTTGGCCAGCCAAATCGATCTATGAGGGTCCCGGGGCCCCGACTTTACCGAAAATGCCACTTACGCAACAATTTCAACGCACTGACTCTGAGGGTCCTTATCCTCTTCCTCCTCCTCCTCTTTCCCCTCCTCTTCCTTCCCTATCCTTCTTCATTGTCTTCTGAGGCTAATGGCTTTGTGAGGCCCATGTTCATCGGGGATTACTAAATGTGTCCCTGGCCCAATATGCACCCAGCTTTCCGCTCAGGTTTGGAGCCCCCGGGGCCCTCTGGGCCTCGTGATGGGGAGCTCTGGAGGCCGTGGGGGCCTCCTCGGAAATCCTGGTGGCACCTCGGGCCAGGGCACTTCCCCTGAGATCCGACGTTTCAAAAGGCAACATCGCAGAGAACCATCACTGGAGTCCCAGACCCGTTCCTTCTGCGCCGTTTTTTGCGCCGGATCGACCTGTGAGGGTCCTGGGGCCCGAAACTGGCCGAAAACGCCCGTGGCATCGCTCGGACGTGTGCATGTCTTCTCGGCGGGCAATCCTCCTGGACAATCCTGCGCGAAAGAAGAAAGCGAAACCGAACAAGGCACGGGGAAGGGACGCCCGAGCGATGGCAAGCTTGGGCCCGGGGCACTTCTAGCGACACCCTCCTCCTCCTCCTCCTCCTCCTCCTCCTCCTCCTCCTTCTTCTCCTCTCCCCCTCCTCTTCGGCCTCGGTCTCCGCCTCCTCCTCCTCCTCCTCCTCCTCCTCCTCCTCCTCCTCCTCCTCAGGGCACTTCTGGCCCCGCCCGAGCCTGCGAGGACGGGGCTCCGGGCCCAGAGCAGGACCCCCGCGCCGCCAGCCGGGAGGAGCTGAAGGCCCAGGTCCAGGCGCTGCGCGAGCGGAAGGCGCAGCTCGAAGCTGAGGCCCTCCTCGGGGCGCCCCCGCCGGGCGCGGCCGGGCCCGCGGGCGGCGCGGCCACGGAGGCCCAGGGACTCCAGCCAGCAAGCAGAATTCGGACCTGAGATCCTGGAGACTGCATTTTTTTTACCACGGGCGCTCTCGCCCGGGTGAAGGGCCCCAGGGCCCTCACGGATCGACCCGGCTCGAAAAATGATGCAGAAAGAAGGGGGTCTGGGCTGGGGCTCTGGTGGTGATTAGCCTGCGGTGCTGCATGTTTTTAGCAACGCCGAATTACAGGGAGCATTACTCAGACTTCCACGGATCTTGGAAAAATCACGACGGCAGGTTTTTCGCAATTTTCGGCCCCTGGGGCCCTCGCCGGGCTTCGGGGCTGTCAACGAACAGCTCAGGATGAAAAAACCGGTTCCCCGGAATGGGTCGAGACCTCTGCGGGCCGACATTGTGAAACATCTTGACGTCGGGGGTCTGGGCAAGCAGAATAGAACCCCTAACCCTACAAGTCATGCAGGTGGGGCGCGCGGCGGTCGATTCTGGCAGCCTTCGCCGTTTCGTCCCTCCCTTCTGATGCTCACATCCTTGACGGCACGCTTCGGGAGAAGCCGCGGGCATCAGGCTTGCTTAGCGTTGTCGTTGGGGGGACACTTTGTAGTGGCAGTGAGTGTCCTTTCGCTGTGCCGACTGAGGCGTGGCAACACATGGTGGGGGCTGTCTTGTTTCGTGAGTATAAACATCCCTAATATCACAATGAAGTCTTGGCCAAGTCTAGGTCCATGGTTTAAAAAAAGATATCCCGAATCATATGGGTCATGGTGGTTTCGTCTGATACGTTTGCATCAGAGAGAACGCGTTTCACGGGCGCTCGCCTTGGGAACATTCGGCGGCGCGTTTCGAACCGGGAGTTGGGCCCCCCCCCAACACGCGGCGCCGTCGATCAAAACCGGGGGGACCCTCCCCCCCAAACCCCCTCCCCTCCCGAACCCCCCCGTCCCAGGGGGGGGGGGGGTTCAACACCCCCCCCCCGCCCTCGCCAGCGCTGGCGGCCGCCAGCAGCAGCGCCGACGGCGGGGACGCAGCGACGGTGACCAGAGGCAGCACAAGGGAGGGTGGGGTGGAGGGTTGAAGCCCTCCTCCCCTAGCGCGCGGGGGGAAGGGGGGTTGAACCCCCCCCCCTCCTCCTGGCGCCTGCGCCGGCGGCGGCCAGCAGCGCCGGCGTTGGCGCCGGCGACGGCGGGGACGCAGCGACGATTACCACCACTACCACCACCACCACGACCACCACCACCCAACCACCCAATCACCACCACCACCGCCACCACCACCACCACCACAACCACCACCAGCACCACAACTCACCATCACAACCACCACCACCACCATAAAAACCCACCACCGCTACCACCACAACCACACTCTACCACACCACCACCACCACCACCACTACCGACACAACCAACACCACTACCAGCAGCACGACCCACCGCCACCACCACAAACCACCACACCACCACCACCACCACCGCCACCACCACCACCACCACCACCACCCCCACCACCTCCACGAACCACCCCCACCACCACAACCCACCACCACCACCAACACCACCACAAACCACCACCACAAACCACCACCACACCACCACCGCAACCACCACAAACACCAGCACAACTCACCATCACCACCACAACCACCACAAAAACACACCACCCCTACCACCACCACCACCAGCACAATCTACCACACCACCACCACCACTGCCACAACCACCACTACCAGCAGCGCAACCCACCACCACCACCACAAACCACCACAAACCACCACACCACCACCAGCACCACCACCACCACACCACCCACCACTACCACCAGCATCACCTCCACCAACCACCGCCACCACCACAACCCACCACCACCACCGCCACCCCACCCCCCCCCACCCCCACCACCCCACCACAAACCCCCACCACACCACACCAAACCACCACCACCACCACCACCACCACCACCACAAACCACCACCACCACCACACCACCACCACCACCACAAACCACCACCACACCACCAAACCACCACCACAAAAACCCACCACCACTACCACCACCACCACAACAAACCACCACACCACCACCACCACAACCAACACCACCGCCACCACCACCACCACAACCCACCACCACCACCACCACCACCGTCGTCCTCATCGACGCTCCTCGCCGCCGCCGCCCGCCGCCGCAGACGCCGGCGCCGGCCCAGGAAAGGAAATCGTCGTCCCCGCCGCCGCCGCCAGCCGCCGCCGACGCAAGCGCCGGCCCGAGGAGAGGGGAAGCAGGGGAGGGAGAGGGGGGGGGTCCGGTTCCAACCCCCCCCCTCCAAGCGACCACAGAGCGCGCTCTTTCTTGCATCAAGACACCCTATCCCGCAGGTGTCTGGCCCTCCCAACTCTAACTTACGGCCCCTCCGAAGGGTTAGGGGTGCTTTTGTTGACGGCGTTTCGCTGTTTTCGGCCTGTGGGGGGTACACTGGGTCTCTGTACCGTCAACAGGAATTTAAATCTCATGATGAAAAATAGGTTCCACGGAATGGGTCGAGGCGTTTATTGGTCGACGCGATGATGAAAACATGAAGGGGGATGAAGCGCTCCAGAAACCCAGGTCCCCGACGGTGGGATGTTTTACAGCCGGTGGTTATTGTGCATGTCGGCCCCTGGGGGCTCCCTTCGGGCCCCAGGGCCATCAAGGAGTTGATCCGGGCCGAAGAGACCACCCCTGGGGAGGGGGTCGAGACCTTCTGGGGCCGCGGATGGAGAACAACATGTGAAAGGACCTCGCCTTCGACGGGTGTGGATATCGTTTCATTGGCAGAAGGCGGCGGGAGGTTGGCGGAAGCCTGCGGGAGTAGAAGTCGCCCCCCCAAGAGATGTCAACAATGTTGGGTTCAGGGTTCAGAACGGCCAAGTGGTTCGAGCAGATGGGTCGAAGGATCGCGCCGCATTGCCGAAGCATCGGCGTGGAACCCTATGTCTTCGACTCCGACGTTGCCGATGCATCGACGCTGCATCGCCGATGCATCGGCGATGCGGCGC